TCCAGCGGAGCAGCTGCGACGGATGGGGAGGAAGGGTGCGGCTGCTGCCTGAGCTTGCTCTTGGTGCAGTCCAGGCAGGTGGGTGCAGGTGAGTCTGTTGGTGGAGGAAGCGCCGACGGGAGGCCAAGAAGAAGTTTCTTGGAAGCGATGTCGGCAAGTGTACGGAAGTTGGGGTGACCCAAGCGATGGTGGTAGAGGATGGTTGGGTTGGGGAAGCTGCGACACGAACACGGAGTGGTGCTGGCAGCTTGCGCATGAAGAGGGCGGTAAGAGGTGCAGGTGAACGCAGCGTGTAGAGCTTGCTACTGTTGAGTGTGAAGCGTGCTAGGAGCTTGTTGGACTTAGGGTCGAAGAGGTCACAGTGATCCGAGTGTGCTGGGAAGATCGTGGTGACGCCTGCCCGTTGGAGCTCGTGTTGGGCCACGAGATTGTGGCGTAGTGTGGGAACACACATGCCAGTCACACTGCCCGAAGGAAAAGCTGGGCACGGAACTGAGGAGGAGCCCTTGGCGTGTGTTGTGAAACTGGAGTCTGCTCCAAGTAGATGGATTGGTGTCTCGTATGGCTTGAAGGAGTGTTCTTCCTTGAGAACCGTGTGAGTGGCCCCACTGTCGAGGGTGAGCTCTATTGTGGCTGAGGTGCTTTTGTGAGCCAGGATACTGTGAAATCGTCTCATTAATCATGGTAGTGCCAGGGAACAACGTGTTGAGGCGCACATCAGCAGGTGCAGCCACAGCAGCCTGCACGGATTCCTGCGCTTCGACTTGATTGACTTGGCGAGGAGCACGATTGACCATCCAGCTTGGCGGCTTGGAGGCGGTCCCATTGACGGCATACCACTCGTCATCCTTCTTCTTAAAGCAGGAGGCAAGGGCGTGGTTGGTGCTGCCACACACCTGGCCGGCACGAGGGCCGCGCTTGATGATGTAGGGACACGGGGGGGAACGGTTGCGCTGGAATGGCACCGAAGCGGCATAGGCTTGAGGCACGGGAGCGCGGATTGCATTGGCCTTGGCTTGAGCGCTGTTGTCCTTTTCGGCAGAAAGGAGCGCGGATGAGACCTTGGCAAATGTGAGGTCTGCAGGAGCAAGGCCCAAGAGCATCTTGCGTGTGACTTCGTATGCCGGAGTGAGGCCGACTAGGAGAGCGGCTGGCGGGGCTTGCTCGGGGAAGACTATCCCCAACTGTTTGAGTTCACCATGAATGGACTTGCTCAAGGAAGACTATCCCCAACTGTTTGAGTTCACCATGAATGGACTGCACCCAACTCTTTAGGAGGTTCTTTGTTGTCACCGATGTTGAGAAGGACGTCGGTGAGCTCGAGCCCCTTCACCTCGCGACTGAGGAGGTGCTTGTCGACACCATAGCGCCAAGCCTTGTCGTTGGAGCATGTTCCGGGAATGAAATTTCCCCTCGACACACACCCACGGGACTGCAGATACTAGGCTTATGGGTCTCCGTCCAGCACCCGCCGCCGCCGTCTCCGCGCTAGCCAACGACTGTGTCGCAGGCTCTGGGGGGGAACATAAGGCGAAATGGAAGGAAGCAATGGAAAAGGAATTGAAAGCTCTGCAAGACCGAAATACATGGAAGCTGGTACCTGCAACGAACATCAACGGGAAGAATGTACTCTCAGGAAAATGGGTGTACCGCATCAAGACTAATGCGGACGGCTCCATCGAACGATTCAAGGCTCGATGGGTCGTACGAGGTTTCGATCAATGATACGGAACCGACTACAGAGAAACATTCGACCCAGTCTCCCGTCTGTTAGAAATAGACTGCAAATACCACTTTTGTATTTGTACTTTTATATCCTAGTTTAGGTTGTGAATGTTCTAGTGGGTTGGGGTGTACTCACAAATCCCAACCTCATCCAATTGTGATCCCCACAATCTCCAATTACCCAATTGGAGATTCCGGAGATCCCAATGGGGATTCCCTCAAATTCCCCCTTCATCCATTCTCTCTCACTTTGCCATGTACTTATAGAGCCTTGGGCTCCTTACCTAATCAATCATTTCAATTCTATTTCTTACATGGTATCAGAGCGACCTATCCGCACACGCGGATCAAGGTCCTAATCTCAACGTGCCCGCGCTACGCGTATTTCATCGTCGCGACATTCCTTTCGAGTCGTCGGAATTTCGACGTGCTCCACTCTGCAGTCGCGCCTCTCATCGTCGACCGCCTTCGCGCTCGACCTCGTTGAATTTCTCATTTCTGAAGCTTTCACGCTACTCATTGTCGATTTCCTCCTCGGTTCTCCTTGGTTGAATTTCAATTTCGACCATCTCTTAAAACTCATTCTCGAGTTTCCCCTCAGACCCCGCCAGAATAGTCGAACTCCCCTCGCGAAATCGCCTCCACGAACGTCTCGCGTCAAATCAAGAGCAGGTACTGTTGGTGCATATTCGTTTGCACGTCATCCTGTCGTCTGTTCGCATCATTTCGTTGCATGTGTTTTGTGTGCTACATTTTTTGTATGGTTTGTTGGGTTTGCATGTCTTTGCATGTTCATCTTGTGCTTGTGCAGATGTGCTTGGATTGTGCATGACATCGAGCACATTCCAACGAGCCAAGAATTGTTGGAATCGGAGCACATATGAAGAAGTTACGAAGAAATGTTTGATGGATTTGTTACAACTCATTGGAAGTCCTTGTCAGCTGCTACACCAAAGTTGGAGAGCCCTATAACGAGGAGGGACCAGCATGTGTGGGACTCTTGTCCCCACCCTGCAGCTGCAGCATTTGGGGTTTGGAGGCCAGCCTGGTACAGTGTGAATTTTGTCTTGCCAGGCTGGCTGAACTTGAGGATGGGGAGTCAAGTCTTTGACTCTTGTCATGTTCTTGACCATGGGCCTCCAGGGTCCTTCCCTTTCATCCTTCCCTTCCATCCCTACCTTCCAATTGTGCTTCAATGCCTTTTCTATCATGCCTCTGAACTTGTAAGCTTCAATAATAGTGACTCTGAGGATTGTCAACTTCTCCTAGGGCAGATTACCCCCCAGTGCGCCAAACGCCATAGCTCGCTCGTTAAGCTACGGAATCGAGTGAATCAACTTTCAGAGGAAAGCTGACGCTGCAAGCTCCAACATATCTGATTTTGAGATCGTTTCACCGATTGGAGTTTTGGATATAGCTTTTCGAAGGTCGCGAGTTTTCTGGGCGTCATAACGAAGTGCTGCAGAAATTTCCAAGCCATTGAATCATCTGCTTATAGCCTTCTCTAACCAACAGGTACACAGGTTGAAGCGGAGCGGAGCTGGTTGCGGAGCTGGTTGCGGAGCTGTGTAGCTGCGGGACAGGGCCTGGGGGTGTGTGGGGGGGTGTGTGGGTCCGGGGTTAGACATAGGCTCAGATTCAGTTTCAATTCGGCGTTTTAACGAATTTTTGCCGACGCTATTTCCTACTTAGCGGCATTTTGATACAGCCGTACTGGACAAGATGAGGGAACTTGGCGATTGCTGGCATCACGTACCCAGAGCAGACTAAGTGTCTCAAGATGCTCAGCCTACTGCCGGAGTCTTGGCTGCAATTTATAAGCGGACTCAGCTTGCCACAAAACCAAAGTCAATGGACATTGGAGTGGATTCGCACCAAGATTTTGGAAGAAGATTTTCGTCGCTATACACTGCGCGGAGGTGATGACAGCACCAGCGGCTATGCCATGCAAGGGACATGGAGGGATCGAGGGCGTGGCAATCGCGGTCGCTCTTACCACAGCCAAGGTGGTCGCGGGACTTGGAACCAGCGGGGGCGTGGTGGCGCTGGTGCAAGAGGAAGAGGTGGTCACTCCAACAATGACAACAGTGAACCACGCTTGAGGGGAGAGTGCTGGTATTGCAAAGAAGAAGGGCATCCATGGTTTCGCTGCCCTACCAAGCCCGACTGGTGGACCCCTTGGAACCAATCGCAGAAGGGGAATGGAGGAAAGCAACCACATGGAGGTGCCAACATGGTAGCTGATCCTGCTGAAGAAACCTCCAAGGATGACAGAGGAATGGGAAATGAGGAGAGGAATGCTGGACAGTTCTACCATGTGTGTGACAAAGATGACAGTGGCACAGCTGTTGCAAGGGCTGGAGAGGAATTGCACCCGCTTGACATGTGGGTCATGGACTCTGGTGCTGCATGGACAATGACACCACGCAAGGACTTGCTGGATGCTGTGCGAGCGCCTCCAATCTCTGAAGTGCGCTCAGCATCCGGACATGCAGTGAAGGTCGCTGGAGTTGGTCGAGCTGCATTCAGAGCACCTGATGGTGGACTGGTTGTGCTGAAGGACGTGTTACTCGTACCGGAGCTGAAGGCCAATCTGATATCGCTGCGCAAGCTAGGCCAGGCTGGAGTCAGCACCACCACCAATGGATCCAAAACATTCAAGGGGCTGCAAGGAGATCGTGTGTTATGGGATTTACACGAAAGCAGAGATGTCTTCAGATCCATGTGGCAGATCCCTGCACTGATATGGGAATCAACAAAGAAGGAGTTGGGAGAAGTAAAGGCGGGATCTGGAGTCCAGGGGGAGTGTAATGCAGTTAGTGCTGCAGGAGTGACGGTTTCTGCAAGGTCGGGGGAGACTGATTGGGAAACCGCACACAGGCGTCTAGGGCATGTGGCTATGCCATTGCTGCAGCAACTGCATAAGGAAGAAGCAGTAAAGGGGCTCAAGCTTTCTGGGCAACCAAATGATACCAAGTGCGAGACGTGTCTGCTGAGCAAGTTCACACGGTTCCCCTTTCACGGCGTAGCTGGGAAAAGCAAGGCAGCACTGGAACTGGTGCACATGGACCTCGTAGGACCTTTTCCAGTCCGAGGAAGTAAGGGGGAAAGGTACTTCCTGACAATAGTTGATGACTGGAGTCGGCTGATGTGGGCATACCCGTTGAAGCAGAAGGATCATGCTGCCTCAACAATACGAGATGATTGGCTGCCGTTCGTCGAGCGACAATCTGGGCACCCATGCAAGAGCATCAGAACCGACCGAGGTGGAGAGTTTCTAGGAGGAGATCTGACTGCGTGGCTCAACAAACAAGGCATTGAGCATCAGCTAACGACGTCCTATACCCCTCAGTCAAATGGCGTTGCTGAGAGGGCTAATAGGACCATCCTGGAAACTGCGCGAGCGCTGCTGATCGAATCAGGGCTGGGGAACTCCATGTGGCCTCATGCGGTGAGGCATGCTACAGTGGCAAGGAACCGTGTACTCACAAAGGTGGCTGATGATATGTGGGTGCCGCTGGAGAGGTGGCTTGGAAAGAAGCCTCCAGTGGACATGCTTCGAGTGTTCGGATGCATGGCAGTGGCGCATGTCCCTAAACCGTACAGGACAAAGCTTGGAGCATCTGCACTGTGGTGTGTGCACCTTGGGCTTGCGGCAGAGAGCAAGGGGTGGCTACTCTGGGAGCCCTCAAAGAATGTGTTGTTTGACAGTCGGGATGTCAAATTTGTGGAGAACATCATGTATGGCAAGTGGGAGAAGCAGTCGGAGGCAAGGGTCACCCAGCAGCTGGAAGAGATCACTATGCACTTCGATCTGTCCGAACCTGAGGACAGCGAAGTCACTGCGCCAACGGCAAGCGGTACTGATGAAGGAAGCAATGAGGATATTGCAGCTGATGCTGAAGTCAAGGATCGGGAGCAGCAGCAGCAAGAGGCTTCCAAAACACCAAGTCTGCCAAAGCGAAGGAAACAGATTGGTGGGGGGACAAAGGATTGGGTGAAGGTGAAAGAATGGGTAAATCCAACCATCTACCCTGCACGTACCAGAATGGCAACGAGAAAGCTGCTGAGCTCCACAAGTGGAGGAGCCACAACTGAGCAGCAGGAACAGGCTCAAGGCGAAGATGCTGTGCTGTTCTTGGGTGATGACCAAGAGTCAGATGACGAGGAGCCTGCATACTGCTTTTACGCACCAATACAACCTCCGAGCATGGATCATGCGCTAGCTGGGCCTCAACGGGGGAAGTGGCTCGTTTCAAGAGATGCAGAGTACAACAGCCAGATGGAGAATCACACATGGGACCTGGTGTACTTGCCAAATGGGAAGAAGGCAATATAGTGCAAGTGGCTGGCAAAAATCAAGACGGATGAGAAAGGAGAGCCATCAGTTTACAAGAGCAGGCTGGTGGCAAAGGGGTTTCAACAGAAAGAGAAGGAAGATTACAAAGAAGTGTTTGCCCCAACTGCTAAGTCTCCAACGCTACGTGTGCTGCTGGCGGTAGCTGCTGTGTGCAAATGGAAGGTGAAGCAGATGGACATCGTAACCGCTTTTCTGTACGGCATTGTGGAAGAGGAGGTGTACATGGTTCAACCACCTGGCTATGAGGATGGAACCGGTCGTGTCTGCAAACTTAACAAGGCCATCTATGGCTTGAAGCAGGCCCCGAGATGCTGGTACAACAGGCTGGCCAGTGCACTGGAAGGGATTGGATTCCGTGCGAGTGCATGCGACGAGAGCCTATTCCTGATGGGAGAGGGGGAGTCACTTGTGCTTCTGCTGGTGTACGTGGATGACATCCTGCTATTCAGCAGCAGTGACAAGGAGATCGATGGGGTGCAGCGGAAGCTCACAGAGCAGTTCAAGTGCAAGTCACTTGGAGAGGCAAGGTACTACCTGGGAATGCACATTGAGCGGGATACTGAACGTGGCTGGCTCAAACTGCATCAGGGACAGTACATCAACACCTTGGCTGAGAAGTACTCTCTGCAGGAAGAACGGGAAGTGGTCACACCTTTGCCTTCCGAGTTCAAACTCATAAAGGCAGCTGAAGGAGAAGGAGTTGAGAGTGAAGACCAGAGGCAATTCCAATCCATGGTCGGGAGCCTACTCTACGCTGCTGTGCATACTCGGCCTGACATCAGCTTTGCTGTGGGACAGCTGGCTCGAGTAGTGCAAAATCCAACAGAAGAGCAGTGTGGTGCAGCGGAGAGAGTGGTGCGCTACTTCAAGTCATACCCTACAGTGGGAGTACAGTATTCAGCCTCTGCTCAACTCAGTCAAAAAGGAGTTGAAGTCCTCAAAGAGAAGGGGGAGCAGCTCGGAGAAGGAAAGGTGTTCCTTTCCTGTTTTGCTGATGCCACGTGGGCTTCTGAGCATGAGGATTCATCATCAGTTGGTGGATACATCTGCATGGTGGGAGGTGGGCCTGTGAGTTGGAGGTCCAAGAAGTAGTCTGAGACGGCTCTATATTCAGTGGAATCTGAGTACATGGCGATGTTTCATGCGGCAAAAGAAATCATCTGGCTAAGTAGGCTCTTGAAGGAGATCGGCCATGAACAGACTTGTGCGACACCTCTGTTCAGTGATAGCAAGGGAGCCATTGCCATGGCACGCAATGCAGTTCTTCATGGGTTGAACAAGCACATGAGGATCAAGTGGCATTGGCTGCGGAAGGAGGTGAAGCTTGGGACACTGGATCCGATCTACGTGAAAACTCAGCAACAGCCAGCCGACTTCCTTACCAAGCGGCTAGCTGAAGAGCCACACTGGCGCTGTGCGAGGATGGCGGGAATGTCCTTGAACTAGAGACGGCGAAACAAGCCGACAGTCTGAGGGGAGTGTGTTGGTGCATATTCATTTGCACGTCATCCTGTCGTCTGTTCGCATCATTTCGTTTGCATGTGTTTTGTGTGCTACGTTGTTTGTATGGTTTGTTGGGTTTGCATGTCTTTGCATGTTCATCTTGTGCTTGTGCAGATGTGCTTGGATTGTGCATGACATCGAGCACATTCCAACGAGCCAAGAATTGTTGGAATCGGAGCACATATAAAGAAGTTACGAATAAATGTTTGATGGATTTGTTACAACTCATTGGAAGTCCTTGTCAGCTGCTACACCAAAGTTGGAGAGCCCTATAACGAGGAGGGACCAGCATGTGTGGGACTTTTGTCCCCACCTTGCAGCTACAGCATTTGGGGTTTGGAGGCCAACCTGGCACTGTGTGAATTTTGTCTTGCCAAGCTGGCTGAACCTGAGGATGGGGAGTCAAAACTTTGACTCTTGTCATGTTCTTGACCATGGGCCTCCAGGGTCCTTCCCTTTCATCCTTCCCTTCCTACCCCACCTTCCAACTGTGCTTCAATGCCTTTTCTATCATGCCTCTGATCTTGTAAGCTTCAATAATAGTGACTCTGAGGACTGTCAACTTCTCCTAGGGCAGATTACCCCCCAGAGCGCCAAACGCGATAGCTCACTCGTTCAGCTACGGAATCGAGTGATTCAACTTTCAGTGGAAAGCTGACGCTGCCAGCTACAACATATCCGATTTTTGAAGGTCGCGAGTTTTCTGGGCGTCATAACGAAGTGCTGCAGAAATTTCCAAGGAGCCATTGGATCATCTGCTTATAGCCTTCTCTTACCAACACGGGGGAGACTGATTGGGAGACCGCACACGGGCGTCTAGGGCATGTGGCTATGCCATTGCTGCAGCAACTGCATAAGGAAGAAGCAGTAAAGGGGCTCAAGCTTTCTGGGCAACCAAATGATACCAAGTGCGAGACGTGTCTGCTGAGCAAGTTCACACGGTTCCCCTTTCACGGCGTAGCTGGGAAAAGCAAGGCAGCACTGGAACTGGTGCACATGGACCTGGTAGGACCTTTTCCAGTCCGAGGAAGTAAGGGGGAAAGGTACTTCCTGACAATAGTTGATGACTGGAGTCGGTTGATGTGGGCATACCCGTTGAAGCAGAAGGATCATGCTGCCTCAACAATACGAGATGATTGGCTGCCGTTTGTCGAGCGACAATCTGGGCACCCATGCAAGAGCATCAGAACCGACCGAGGTGGAGAGTTTCTAGGAGGAGATCTGACTGCGTGGCTCAAGAAACAAGGCATTGAGTATCAGCTAACGATGTCCTAAACCCCTCAGTCAAATGGCATTGCTGAGAGGGCTAATAGGACCATCCTGGAAACTGCGCGAGCGCTGCTGATCGAATCAGGGCTGGGGAACTCCATGTGGCCTCATGCGGTGAGGCATGCTACAGTGGCAAGGAACCGCGTACTCACAAAGGTAGCTGATGATATGTGGGTGCCGTTGGAGAGGTGGCTTGGAAAGAAGCCTCCAGTGGACATGCTCAGAGTGTTCGGATGCATGGCAGTGGCGCATGTCCCTAAACCGTACAGGACAAAGCTTGGAGCATCTGCACTGTGGTGTGTGCAACTTGGGCTTGCGGCAGAGAGCAAGGGGTGGCTACTCTGGGAGCCCTCAAAGAATGTGCTGTTTGACAGTCGGGATGTCAAATTTGTGGAGAACATCATGTATGGCAAGTGGGAGAAGCAGCTGGAGGCAAGGGTCACCCAGCAGCTGGAAGAGATCACTATGCACTTCGATTTGTCCGAACCTGAGGACAGCGAAGTCACTGCGCCAACGGCAAGCGGTACTGATGAAGGAAGCAATGAGGATATTGCAGCTGACGCTGAAGTCAAGGATCCGGAGCAGCAGCAGCAAGAGGCTTCCAAAACACCAAGTCTGCCAAAGTGAAGGAAACAGATTGTGTTGTGTGATGTCATCATATGCTATCACATTCTGTCTGCCTCCCATCCCATGTTTTCAACTTGCATGTGTGGTTTGAATGTGCAAGCATTTGTGTGGTGTGTGTTCTGGAGTTTGGGAATGTGTTTTGTTTTATTCTGTCTGAGCAGGTATTTGTGACGATAGATCTTGAGAAGATCTTTCCGACGCAACAAGAATCGCTTCAATCGGAGCAAGAACGCGAAAGCTATGAAGATTCAAAGTTCATGAGCTTGCGTTACAATTGCGGCGGTTACAAAATGAAGTTGTGGGGTGACTTTATATGGAGTTGGGACCTTTGGGGTTGGGGAAACTTGTCACTCTACTGTAACAGCTGCAAATAGGTTGGGAACAACCAAGCTAGGTTGGCAAGGGTGGCCAACTTGGATGGATTGGTTGGGAAGGGACAAATGTCAAAATTGGGGTTCCTATAGGGAGGGAATCTTTGTGCTTATGGGGTTTCCTTGGTTGAGGACTCTCTTGGGACCTTCCCTCTCATCCCTCTCTTCCTATCCCAACCTTTCTCTTGCTCCTTCTAATTCCTTGTGAGATTCTTGAACTTTAATTGAACTTTTGAGATTGAGTTAAGTTCTCCTCCTACAGCTTACCCCCTAATGCGTCGAAAGCCATAGCGTCGCGAATACTTCATCAATCAACGTGTTTCAAATTGGGAACGGTAGCTGAGATTAAGAGCTACAACATATCTGAGTTTCGCGACATTCCAACGGCTAGTTTTCCGTCGACGTCGTTTCTTGTGAAGACGACTTTTCTGTCCAGAATTTCGGATTTATATTTTGAGTAATTCTAGCTCCTAAGTTCACCTAGACTCCGTCCTTAATACTAACAAGTGGTATCAGAGCGATATTAAGGACATTGAGAGGAGTCTACAGAAGTGTGAAGACCCTTTTAGACCCACCATGGCCTGTGGGTGTGCCTAAGTGGTGTTCTAAAGGTTGGATGTGTCTTCCGCTAAGGGGAAACTCTGCCGAAATTTCGTGGACGCCGACACTTGTGAAAATATCGAGGGAGCTGAGTGTGGACAGCAAAGGGGAGCTGAAATTCGTCATTTCTCAAGGAGAAGATGAATGAGAGAGGAGGAGATGCTAATGGAAGAGGAGCTGTAGCTGAGAAGACAAGTGAGCCGCCGCCATCAAAAGTTGAAGCTTTGGATGGCTCCAACTATGAGGAATGGAGCGGACGGATGAGGAGTGCCTTCAAACGCTACAAGCTACTGAAGATTGCTGTTGGGGAAGAGAAGATGCCGGAAGAAGGCGAAGCAGGTGAACGGTGGATTGAGAAAAGCGCGGTGCTTTTCGACCTCATTCTTCAATCGGTCAACAAGGAGATGTTCGAGCACATCAAGGATCTTGTGGAAGCGGATGATTCGGGTCCAAGGGCGTGGAAACTACTACGTGATGTGGTTCAGCCCAACACTCTCCCGATGGTGATCGTGCTCGAGAAGGAACTTGCTGCCATCTCCATGCGACCAGGGGACGATGTGAAGCCGGTCCTTGACAAGATCAAGGACACCTATGCAAGGATGGCAGCAGCGGGCAGCAGTGTATCTCAGCTGCAGCAGTGCACCAAGATCATCTCGGTGTTGGACAACTCTTGGGACAACCTCATCCCCACCCTCAACTCTCAGCAAGATCAATGGACACCTGAGTGGCTAAGGCAGCAGATTCTGCAGGAGGACTTCCGCAGACGCCATGTGGGAGGCGGTGCTGCCACTAAGACTGCTGAGGGGTATGGAGCTGCAGGGCGCAGCAGAGGAAGAGGGGGTTGGAGAGGCCGAGGCCGTGGGAGAAGCTTTGGCAGAGGTAGAGGCCGAGGTGACTATAATGAGGGGCATGGGAGCTCCAGTGGCAGGGGGAGTACCAGAATGGAGGGCACCTGCTGGTACTGCAAGAAGGTCGGGCATCCTTGGTTCAAGTGCTTCAGCAGGCTGGAGGGATGGTCACCTCCAGGCATGAAGCCGCCAAGTGGTGAACGCGCACAAGGTGGCGCTGTGCAAGGCTCAGGTGCACAAGGTGAAGGTGCACAAGGTAACGCCTATCCTGGGATGTATCTCATGGTTGAGGATGTGCATGGGCATGAGGGTGATGTGGGATCTGTCGGAAAGGTTGTGATGCACCCTCTCACGCACTGGGTGATTGATTCGGGTTGCACCAGTCACATGACTCCACGGGCAGATTTGCTTGATGAGGTAAAACCCCCTGGGAAGATTAAGTATGTGGCAGCAGCGTCAGGTGCTTTGCTCCCCGTGATTGGTGTTGGGAATGCCAAGGTTAAGGGAGCTAATGGGGAGCTTGTGGGGCTTGGGAATGTTCTGCTGGTTGAAGGCTTGTCTGCTAACCTTCTCTCTGTGCGACGACTGCAGAAGAGCAAGGCCGAAGTGACCTTTGGACCAACCAGCTGCCGTGCTAAGCTTGGGAAGAAGGTGCTGTGGAGTCTGGAAGAGGAGACCAGCTGCATCAAGGACCTGTGGCAGCTGCCCATCATCCCATGGAATGGGAAGACTCCAACAGCAGCAACGGCAGCAGCGGCAAAGGCAACAGCAGGAGGAGATGCAACTGCACCAACTGATGGGGTCCTGGAAGCAGTCAAGAAAGTGCAGCAGCAGCAGACACATGGTGAGGTGCTTGCTGGTGTGGATGCAAGTGCGGCATGGGCTAAGGCTTCACCAAGGAGTGGAGAGGCCGATTGGGAGACATGGCATGAGAGGCTGTGTCATGTGAACTTCCCTATGCTGCAGAAGTTGGTGAAGGATGGGAGCCTGAAGGGCTTGGAGGTGAAAGGGGGAGTGAAGGAGATTGGGAGCTGCCCTACATGCTTGGAGACCAAGTTCTCCAAGTTCCCCTTCAACAGCACTACAGGACCAGCCAAGACCCCACTTGCACTTGTGCATATGGATGTGGTGGGGCCCACAAGAGCCCCTTCCCTCTCAGGCAGCCGCTATTTCTTGACAATTGTGGATGACCACACTCGGGCAGTGTGGGTTTACCCTTTGAAGAGCAAGGGGGAGGTGGCAGCGGCTGTCCTTAAGGAGTGGATGCCGAGAGCTCAGAGGGAATGCGGACACAAGGTGAAGGTGATCCGTAGTGACAATGGTGGGGAGTTCATTGGAGCTGATTTTGAGGGGGAGTTGAAGAGGAAGGGGATCCAGCATCAACTGACAGTGCCCTACAACCCGCAGCAGAATGGCGTGGCTGAGAGGTTCAACAGGACCCTGCAGGAGGGGGCACGCACTCTCCTTGGGCGTGCAGGGCTGCCTGATCCGTTTTGGGTGTCTGCACTGAGGCAGGTCGCCCTTGTGAAGAATAGGGTGCTGGCTACAGTTGGAGATAAGGAGTGGATCCCATATGTCAAGTGGTATGGGAGTGCTCCAGCGGTGAACATGCTGAGGGCATTTGGGTGCATGGTGGTGTTTCATGTGCCCAAGGAGAAAAGGGGGAAGTTGGAGGCTTCTGGAAGATGGGGTGTGCACTTGGGGATTGCAAAGGATCACAAAGCATGGCTGCTATGGGACTTGACCACCCAGAAGCTGACAGTGTCAAGGGATGTGAAGTTTCTTGAGTCCCTGTACTATAAGGAATGGAAGCAGCAGCAACAGAAGCTTCCATCTACACCACTCATTGTGGAGGCAGATGAGTTGCAGCAGCCTTCAAGACAGGTGGAGGTTGCAGTGTCAGAGGAGGAGATGTCTGGGGTGACTGAGGAAGGGGGAGCAGCTGAGGTGGAGCAGCAGCAGCAGCATGAATCTCCACCTCGAGTTCCACACCCGCCTGAGCGTCCTAGGAGGGATGTGCGCCCTCCTGTGAGGCTGACCTATGGGGGAAGAGGCAAGCCGAATGTGGTGCAGGCTGGGAGTGTGGTTGAGCAGATTGAGGAAGATGAGATCGCTCACTGCTACTGGGCACCAATCCCTGAGTACATGGCCTTACACCATGGGGCCAAGGAAGTAGTGTGGCTAAGGCGTTTGTTGGAGGAGTTGGGAGTTGGTCAGGAGAAGCCGACAGTTGTGTTTTGTGACAATGAGTCCGCTGTGAAGCTCGCCAAGAATGCTTGTCTGCATGGGCTGACAAAACACATAAGGCCTAAGTGGCATTGGGTGAGGAGACTCCTTGATAAGGAGGTGCGGCTGGAGATAGTGAAGACCCATCAGCAGGCAGCAGATATTTTCACTAAGCGTCTGGCGGAGGCGGATCATTGGAAGGGCATGAAGCTTGCTGGGATGAGTGTGCATTGAGTATGCATGCTTGAGATGTGGTATGGTGGATGATGGTTGGCAGCCAGAGGGGGAGATTGTTGTGTGATGTCATCATATGCTATCACATTCTGTCTGCCTCCCATCCCATGTTTTCAACTTGCATGTGTGGTTTGAATGTGCAAGCATTTGTGTGGTGTGTGTTCTGGAGTTTGGGAATGTGTTTTGTTTTATTCTGTCTGAGCAGGTATTTGTGACGATAGATCTTGAGAAGATCTTTCCGACGCAACAAGAATCGCTTCAATCGGAGCAAGAACGCGAAAGCTATGAAGATTCAAAGTTCATGAGCTTGCGTTACAATTGCGGCGGTTACAAAATGAAGTTGTGGGGTGACTTTATATGGAGTTGGGACCTTTGGGGTTGGGGAAACTTGTCACTCTACTGTAACAGCTGCAAATAGGTTGGGAACAACCAAGCTAGGTTGGCAAGGGTGGCCAACTTGGATGGATTGGTTGGGAAGGGACAAATGTCAAAATTGGGGTTCCTATAGGGAGGGAATCTTTGTGCTTATGGGGTTTCCTTGGTTGAGGACTCTCTTGGGACCTTCCCTCTCATCCCTCTCTTCCTATCCCAACCTTTCTCTTGCTCCTTCTAATTCCTTGTGAGATTCTTGAACTTTAATTGAACTTTTGAGATTGAGTTAAGTTCTCCTCCTACAGCTTACCCCCTAATGCGTCGAAAGCCATAGCGTCGCGAATACTTCATCAATCAACGTGTTTCAAATTGGGAACGGTAGCTGAGATTAAGAGCTACAACATATCTGAGTTTCGCGACATTCCAACGGCTAGTTTTCCGTCGACGTCGTTTCTTGTGAAGACGACTTTTCTGTCCAGAATTTCGGATTTATATTTTGAGTAATTCTAGCTCCTAAGTTCACCTAGACTCCGTCCTTAATACTAACAGATTGGTGGGGGGACAAAGGATTGGGTGAAGGTGAAAGAATGGGTAAATCCAACCATCTACCCTGCACGTACCAGAATGGCAACGAGAAAGCTGCTGAGCTCTACAAGTGGAGGAGCCACAACTGAGCAGCAGGAACAGGCTCAAGGCGAAGATGCAGTGCTGTTCTTGGGTGATGACCAAGAGTCAGATGACGAGGAGCCTGCATACTGCTTTTACGCACCAATACAACCTCCGAGCATGGATCATGCGCTAGCCGGGCCTCAACGGGGGAAGTGGCTCGTTTCAAGAGATGCAGAGTACAACAGCCAGATGGAGAATCACACATGGGACCTGGTGTACTTGCCAAATGGGAAGAAGGCAATACAGTGCAAGTGGCTGGCAAAAATCAAGACGGATGAGAAAGGAGAGCCATCAGTTTACAAGAGCAGGCTGGTGGCAAAGGGGTTTCAGCAGAAAGAGAAAGATGATTACAAAGAAGTGTTTGCCCCAACTGCTAAGTCTCCAACGCTACGGGTGATGCTGGCGGTAGCTGCTGTGCGCAAATGGAAGGTGAAGCAGATGGACATCGTAACCGCTTTTCTGTACGGCATTGTGGAAGAGGAGGTGTACATGGTTCAACCACCTGGCTATGAGGATGGAACCGGTCGTGTCTGCAAACTTAACAAGGCCATCTATGGCTTGAAGCAGGCCCCGAGATGCTGGTACAACAGGCTGGCCAGTGCACTGGAAGGGATTGGATTCCGTGCGAGTGCATGCGAGGAAAGCCTATTCCTGATGGGCGAGGGGGAGTCGCTTGTGCTTCTGCTGGTGTACGTGGATGACATCCTGCTCTTCAGCAGCAGTGACAAGGAGATCGATGGGGTGCAACGGAAGCTCACAGAGCAGTTCAAGTGCAAGTCACTTGGAGAGGCAAGGTACTACCTGGGAATGCACATTGAGCGGGATACTGAACGTGGCTGGCTCAAACTGCATCAGGGACACTACATCAACACCTTGGCTGAGAAGTACTCCTTCCAGGAAGAACGGGAAGTGGTTACACCTTTGCCTTCCGAGTTCAAACTCATAAAGGCAGCTGAAGGAGAAGGAGTTGAAAGTGAAGACCAGAGGCAATTCCAATCCATGGTCGGGAGCCTACTCTACGCTGCTGTGCATACTCGGCCTGACATCAGCTTTGCTGTGGGACAGCTGGCTCGAGTAGTGCAAAATCCAACAGAAAAGCAGTGTGGTGCAGCGGAGAGACTGGTGCGCTACCTCAAGTCATACCCTACAGTGGGAGTACAGTATTCAGCCTCTGCTCAACTCAGGCAAAAAGGAGTTGAAGTCCTTCAAGAGAAGGGGGAGCAGCTCGGAGAAGGAAAGGTGTTCCTTTCCTGTTTTGCTGATGCCACATGGGCTTCTGAGCATGAGGATTCATCATCAGTTGGTGGATACATCTGCATGGTGAGAGGTGGGCCTGTAAGTTGGAGGTCCAAGAAGCACTCTGAAACGGCACTATCTTCAGTGGAATCTGAGTACATGGCAATGTTTCCTGCGGCAAAAGAAATCATCTGGCTAAGGAGGCTCTTGAAGGAGATCGGCCATGAACAGACTTGTGCGACACCTCTGTTCAGTGATAGCAAGGGAGCCATTGCCATGGCACGCAATGCAGTTCTTCATGGGTTGAACAAGCACATGAGGATCAAGTGGCATTGGCTGCGGAAGGAGGTGAAGCTTGGGACACTGGATCCGATCTACGTGAAAACTCAGCAACAGCCAGCCGACTTCCTTACCAAGCGGCTAGCTGAAGAGCCACACTGGCGCTGTGCGAGGATGGCGGGAATGTCCTTGAACTAGAGACGGCGAAACAAGCCGACAGTCTGAGGGGGAGTGTGTTGGTGCATATTCATTTGCACGTCATCCTGTCGTCTGTTCGCATCATTTCGTTTGCATGTGTTTTGTGTGCTACGTTGTTTGTATGGTCTTGACCATGGGCCTCCAGGGTCCTTCCCTTTCATCCTTCCCTTCCTACCCCACCTTCCAATTGTGCTTCAAAGCCTTTTCTATCATGCCTCTGAACTTGTAAGCTTCAATAATAGTGACTCTGAGGATTGTCAACTTCTCCTAGGGCAGATTACCCCCCAGTGCGCCAAACGCCATAGCTCGCTCGTTAAGCTACGGAATCGAGTGAATCAACTTTCAGAGGAAAGCTGACGCTGCAAGCTCCAACATATCTGATTTTGAGATCGTTTCACCGATTGGAGTTTTGGATATAGCTTTTCGAAGGTCGCGAGTTTTCTGGGCGTCATAACGAAGTGCTGCAGAAATTTCCAAGCCATTGAATCATCTGCTTATAGCCTTCTCTAACCAACAGGTACACATGTTGAAGCGGAGCTGAGCTGGTTGCAGAGCTGGTTGCGGAGCTGGTTGCGGAGCTGTGTAGCTGCGGGACAGGGCCTGGGGGTGTGTGGGGGGGTGTGTGGGTCCGGGGTTAGACATTGGCTCAGATTCAGTTTCAATTCGGCGTTTTAACGAATTTTTGCCGACGCCATTTCCTACTTAGCGGCATTTTGATACAGCCGTCAGAGTGATTTTCAGCAATTCTCGTCGACCAATTTCCAGAAGTGCCGCGCTGCTCACCGACAATGGCTTACTCAACCACTTCACTCGCCAACCCGATCCCGCTCCTTCGTCTCGAGCCGGACGGTACATGCTCCAACTACAAGGCTTGGCGCTATGGTGTCGACAAGCACCTCCTCAGTCGCGAGGTGAAGGGGCTCGAGCTCACCGACGTCCTCCTCAACATCGGTGACGGCAAAGAGCCTCCTAAACCCGAGAGGTCCGCCGATCCAGCTAATGCCGCCGCCAAAGCAGTTTATGCTGCTGCACTGCTCAAGTACAAGAATTGGAAGAAGGCCGATGGTGCGGTCATTAGTGTCTTCATGGGCACCACTCCTCCCGAACTCGTCGAAACCTACCACAACTACCCGTCTGCCAACGCCATTTGGCTCTACCTCGAAGATCGCTTCCTGAACAAGACTGCAGTGGGAGTTGCTATACTCATCCCCAGCATGTTCCAAGTGCGGCTCGATGACTCGCCAGGCATGGCGGACTATGTCACCAAGGTGCAGTCCATTCATGGTGAACTCAAACAGTTGGGGATAGTCTTCCCCGAGCAAGCCCCTGCAGGCGCTCTCCTAGTCGGCCTCACTCCAGCATACGAAGTCACGCGCAAGATGCTCTTGGGCCTTGCTCCTGCGGACCTCACATTTGCCAAGGTCTCATCCGCGCTCCTTTCTGCCGAAAAGGACAACAGCGCTCAAGCCAAGGCCAATGCAATCCGCGCTCCCTTGTGTCAAGCCTATGCCACTTCGGCGCCATTCCAGCGCAACCGCTTCTCCCCGTGTCCCTACATCATCAAGCGCGGCCCTCGTGTTGGCCAGGTGTGTGGCGGCACCAACCACGCCCTTGCCTCCTGCTTCAAGAAAAAGAATGACGAGTGGTATGCCGTCAATGGGACCGCCTCCAAGCCGCCAAGCTGGATGGTCAATCGTGCTCCTCGCCAAGTCAATCAAGTCGAAGCGCAGGAATCCGTGCAGGCTGCTGTGGCTGCACCTGCTGATGTGCGCCTCAACATGTTGTTCCCTGGCTCACAAAGCACCTCAGCCACAATAGAGTTCACCCTCAACAGTGGGGCCACTCACACGGTTCTCAAGGAAGAACACTCCTTCAAGCCATACGAGACACCAATCCATCTACTAGGAGCAGACTCCAGTTTCACAACACACGCCAAGGGCTCCTCCACAGTTCCGTGCCCAGCTTTTCCTTCGGGCAGTGTGACTGGCTTGTGTGTTCCCACACTACGCCACAATCTCGTGGCCCAAAACGAGCTCCAACGGGCAGTCGTCACCACGATCTTCCTAGCACACTCGGATCACTGTGACCTCTTCGACCCTAAGTCCAACAAGCTCCTAGCACGCTTCACACTCAACAGTAGCAAGCTCTACACGCTGCGTTCACCTGCACCTCTCGCCGCCCTCTCCCAAGCGCAAGCTGCCAGCACCACTCCGTGTTCATGTCGCAGCTTCGCCAACCCAACCATCCTCTACCACCATCGCTTGGGTCACCCCAACTTCCGTACACTTGCCGACATCGCTTCCAAGAAACTTCTTCTTGGCCTCCCGTCGGCGCTTCCTCCACCAACAGACTCACCTGCACCCACCTGCCTGGACTGCACCAAGAGCAAGCTCAGGCAGCAGCCGCACCCTTCCTCCCCATCCGTCACAGCTGCTCCGCTGGACCTAGTGCACATGGATGTCTGGGGCCCAGCTCCAGTCGCATCCCGAGGCGGTCATCGGTACTTTCTTACACTAGTCGATGACCACTCGCGGTACGTTTCTGTGCACCTCCTGCATACCAAAGCAGAGGCACCTGATGTCATTATGGCGTGGGTGCACCGGGCTCAAGTCACGTTCGGCACTCCTCTGAAGTGCCTCCATTCTGATGGCAAGGGAGAATTTCGCAATGGCAAACTCGATAACTTCTGTGCGGCCCAAGGGATTCGGCAAACCTTCACGCTCCCCGAAAGCCCGCAGCAGAACGGCATTGCAGAGAGCCGCAACCACACCTTGGTTCAGATCGCTCGCTGCCTCCTCAGTCACGCCAACGCACCACGGTCACTTTGGGGATATGCCCTCTTCCATGGGGCACTCCTCTACAATCTTTATCCGCATCCCCACCGGCCCGACACCACACCTACCGCTCTCTGGCTTGGGGTCACGCCTTCCGCCCGCTCTCTACGCGTCTGGGGGTGTACCGCGTATGTGTTGCTAAGCCCCCACACGCGCAGGAAGCAAGGTGGCAAGCTTGGTCCCAAAACCCAGACCTGCATGTACCTCGGGCACAACTCCGACTCCCCAGACTACTTATTCCTCAACCCAATCACCAGACAGCTGATTCGCAGCCGTGATGTCGTCTTCGATGAGACACGCCCATTCCACTCTGCGACCACGGGCGAGCCTCCTCCACCTCCCCCGACGCTTGTTTGGGCACTCTTCTTATGAAGGATCTTGGTGACCTCAAGAACTACCTGGGGATGGAGATCACTTGTGACCGCCAGGCTTGCACGATCACCCTCTCCCAGGAGTCCTACATCGACAACCTTCTCAAGCGGTTCGACATGGACTCCA